AACACCTCTCCCGCTCCGACACAAAGCACAAGCACCATTACTCCAGGAACCACCACTCTGTCATCACACACTTCAACGTCCGCCACTACTACCTCCACCCCCGTTTACCCAACAGTGACAAACTCCACTGGCACCACGGTGATCCCTAGTACCACCGCCCCACCAACACCAGGCACAACCAACATCACTACCACCAGCAGGGCCAGCACCACCAACACCTCTCCCGCTCCGACACAAAGCACAAGCACCATTACTACACCAACACCAACCGAGACCACCTCAGCCAGCAGCACCAGTAGCACCTCCAGTATCACTGCTGGAAGCACCACATCGTCCACAGCCACGTCTGCAACAACAAAAACCTCCACTGTGGCAACAGAGACTCCAACGTCAAGCACTACTGCGTCCACCCTCACCCAGTCCACAGTGACGACCTCCACTGGCACCACGGTGATCCCCAGTACCACTGCCCCACCAACACCAGGCACAACCATCATCACTACCACCAGCAGGTCCAGCACCACCAACACCTCTCCCGCTCCGATGCAAAGCACAACCACCATTACCACACCAACACCAATCGAGACCACCTCAGCCAGTAGTACCACTAGCACCTCCAGGACCACTGCTGGAAGCACCACATCGTCCACAGCCACGTCTGCTTCAACAGCATCCTCCACTGTGGCAACACAGACTCATACGTCCTCCATTACTGCGTCCACCCTCCCTCAGACAACAGTGACGACCTCCACTGGCACCACGGTGATCCCCAGTACCACTGCCCCACCAACGCGAGGCACAACAATCATCACTACCACCAGCAGGGCCAGCACCACCGAGACCTCTCCCGCTCAGACACAAAGCACAATATCCATTACCACATCAACAGCAACCGAGACCACCTCAGCCAGTAGTACCACTAGCACCTCCAGGACCACTGCTGGAAGCACCACATCGTCCACAACCACGGCTGCTCCAACAGAAACGTCCACTGTGACAAAACAGACTCCAACATCACCCACTGTCACCTCCAGTGTCTCTCAGTCAGGAATTACAAGCACCTTAGTCAGTACAGATATTCTTCCAACATCTCTTTCTTCTACTGGACCAAGCACTGACACCACTGTTTTTACCACAGTGTTCACTAGCAGAAGCAGCCCAGGTACGTCTACCTGTCAACCAAGGTTACAAACATCTAGTTCAGTGCAAGAACATTAGTATCCTTGTCTTGTCTGTCTTCTTCCACTATCATCCTCATTTCTTCCAAAAGAGAAACCACCTTTTCACCTCTCTGTCCTTCTGCTACTTGTTTCTAAGTTAGTCAAGTGAGCGCACCCCAGAGCTTTATATTTCTTATCTTTTGCTCGTGATTACAGTGGTAGCTTTGAAAGTTTTGAAGACATTAGAGCTGTATGTCATAAGATTTGCTGAATCCCAGACCATATTCAGCATAGATCTAAAAGATTTCCACGATCTCTACCTAGTAGTAGATCAAACATTTCAATGCAATAAAAACGTCCGCCTGTTTTGCTGGAATGTCTAACAGTCCTCTCCAATGTGTCAAAATTATGAGATTGAAATGCTGTAAACTAAAGCAATGTCTTTTGCTCGGCAGTAGCTACAAGTGGTACACCACCATCAAGTCATGTTACAACAAGCACTTCCGCAATCTTCAGTTCCTCTCCCAGCGTATCTGTCTCAACAGGAGAAAGTACATATGTTACATCAAGCAGAACAACTCCATGTTTTTGTTATGTGTTTGATAATTTTTTTTCTCCTGGTAAGTGTCTTATTTTATGGTTATAAAAATGCTCATAAGCAACATAACCCCATAATACTTTATTCATTGAAGATAACCACTCAAAATCGTCTAAACATAGAACTTTTTATACACGAATACGCTTTATATTTTCACAGTATTCTCATGGGTTTTTTTTCCCTAAGTATTTTAATGGATCTTTTCATTTCTTCTCCAATTTTCCTCTACAGGAGAAGTGGTATACAACAGAACAGATAGGGCTGGCTGTAATTTTTATGCGCTTTGCAGCAAAGAATGCGAAATCGAACCATTCCAGGGGCCGTGTCCTTCGACAACTCCTTTCACTACAGTCCCCTCAGAAACTACAACACAAGCTGCATCATCCACAGAACCTGTGTCTTCTGTCTCACCAACCACTGTGTCACTCACTACTGCAGTAGAAAGAAACTGTACTGATGTCAATCCTCCACGAAAGGTGGGTCCTCTCATTATTTTTTAATATATCACCATGGCAAAACCACACCAATTTCTGTCCTCTAACAGCCATTTTCCATCAACTTGTATGTATTACAATAACAAAGTTGGTCATGTTACAAATAACGTGATAGCACACAATTCTTCAACCTGGCAGTATCCAGGCTCTTCAGTAATTTGTAGATGGAAAAGCTCATTAATGCCATGTCAGAGATCTTTTTTATTAAAAGTCATTTAAATGTCATGGAATTAAGTAGAATCATAGAATCATAGAATGGTTTGAGTTGGAGGGGACCTCAAAGATCACCTAGTCCCACCCCCCCTGCCATGGGCAGGGACACCCTCCACTACACCCAGGTTGCTCAAAGCCTCATCCAACCTGGCCTTGAACACTTCCAGGGATGAAGCATCTACAACTTCTCTGGGCAACCTGTTCCAGTGCCTCACCACCCTCAGAATGAAATTTTTTTTCTTATATCCAATCAAAATCTACCCTCTTTCAGTTTAAATCCATTACCCCTTGTCCTATCACTACATGGCCTTGTAAAAAGTCCCTCTCCATCTTTCCTGTAGCCCCCCTGGAAGGCTGCTATAAGATCACCCCGAAGCCTTCTCTTCTCCAGGCTGAACAGCCCCAACTCTCTCAGCCTGTCTTCATAAGAGAGGTGCTCCAGCCCTCGGATCATCTTCGTGGCCCTCCTCTGGACTCACTCCAGCAGCTCCATGCCCTTCTTGTGTTGGGAGTAGACCAGCTAGTAGACTAGCTATGAAAGTATTAAAATCTCATTTGTCTACACAGAAGAATATTCTATGATTGTTCTCATCTTGTCTGCTCTTAAGGCCCGAAATAACTCTAATCTGAACTCCCTATCAATTTTGAGAATCTATCTCAAATTGAAACAGAACAAGGGTGAGAGCACTTAAGAATAAATCATTTACATGTTTTTCAGCCTGGAGAGAACTGGACAAGTGAATGCCAGGAATGTGTCTGTGACCCTGTCACTGCTACTGTACAATGCCAGCCGCTGCCATGTCGAACAGTTCAGAAACCAGTTTGTGACTTAGGATTTGTTCCCATGCCTGTACTACCAGTAAAAGATCCATGTTGTCCTGAATTTGAATGCCGTAAGTATTAAAAATACATTTATAAATAGCAGGATACATACTCTGGTAAATTATATTTGCATGTCTGTTAATATCTAAGCAAGTTTTTCAAGTATCACAATAACAGCAAAACCTTCCTTAAATTGTTCTGGCTCAGCGAATATGCATCAATTTTTGGCTAAATGTGCATTAGAAGTTTATTTAAAAACAAAATGTCATTTTCAGTGAAGTTTGCTGAGAGAATTAGGACGGGTGGGAGAGCAGGATAATACTTTGAGCTTCCAAGTGGTCTATGTAGCTCAACTATCTCTGTATCTGTAATCATAAAGGTTATTAATGCATTTTATTTAATGTAATTAATGTCATATTGGAGCACATTAACATTAGCCTCACTGTAGCTAAACTAAGGGGCATAAACATAAGAATAAGCCAGCAGAAAGTTTAAGTTTACTACAAAAGCAAGTAACGTGAAGCAATAATACGAAGTGAACTGTAATCAGTAACTGAATTGTCAATGTCTGAAAAATAATAGTTATACTTACACTGATGTTGAATGCTCCTTAAAATTTAAAAATTCATCAGTTATATATGTTTACAGACATATTTTTAATATACATGTATTTTTATACACATATATTTATACAAAAGGAAAAAAAAAAAAAAGCAGCCGTAAATTAAGCCCAAAACAGGAAGGTCAAAACAAAGGAACAGGCAAGTTTGAAATAGTCCTGTGCAAGATATGAATGGGCTCTACCATGTTGTGAAATTATTTATATTACCACGGTAATAATACCTTTTTTCCACTCAGAGTCAATCTTCCATCCAAGCCATGTTCTGAAAGGTCATAAAAAATCAGTAACAAAGGCACATTTTAAGGTTCAAAGAGGAAATAATTAATTTAATTTGAAGTGAACCTGATATCAAAAGGGAAAAAAATGGATTTTCCATGCATAGCTTGAGTTTGAAGCCATTCCTCCTCAACTCTTCCAGCTAATTTCAAAAGTGAAACTTTACTTAAATATCCAGCTATACTACATATGAGGCCTAAACATGTAGAGGGGATGGAATTCAAGTTTTCCATAATCTCTGTGTTACTAATAAAGCTTGATAACATCTTGACTTCTCAGGAAGTCTCACAATTTGAGTTTACTTCAGAATTTTTGTTTTGTTTTGTTTTGCAGAACGAATACCTGACATCTGTGTGATTAATGGTACAATGTACAAGGTGAGAATGTTATGCTTGCAGTGGCATATTTCTGGAAGTGAAATGTATACCATTTTGGCCAAAACAAGCCTTTGTGAAAGTTCTTTTCCCAGTACATGTTTTTTTCATCTCTAGCCCTTAAATGGAAGGTGTTTTTTTTTCCTAACATCAAGACCAAAATTGTCACAGAAGAGTTCCTCGACATGTAGCATAAAACAAGAGTGTACCATTTTTAGTGACGTACTTTCTTTTTAAACTCCTTCCCACTTCTGGAATTAATGAATTTTGCAAATAAGCTGAAGAATAGCCCAACCTCAACCACTCTTTGAAATAAGCCCAAAGAACCTTCAAAAACAAAGCTAAGATTCATTTAGTTCCCTCCTAATGTGCGCTTTCTTGCAAGACATAAAGCCAAAAACTTCACCTTCAAAGACAGTTGAACAACTCGGTCACGCTTGCGTTTCGGCAGCCTTAATGGTTCTCACCAATGCTTTCAACTCTGCCTATACCTTATATAGAAATTGTTACCATTTGATTTTTTTTTTCTGTCTTCCAGGCTGGAATGTCAGCAGTAATCGATTCATGTAACAATTGTACCTGCAGTTCTGAGAAAGATCCAGTGACTAAGGCAAATATTGTGCATTGTGAAAGAGTTCAATGTCAAACATCTTGCCCACTGGTGAGTTCAGATTCTCTTAGCCGCCCAGTCAGGCCATGATTGCAAGAAGACTGGAATTCTCTGTCAACAACTCAACATACTTTCTCTTTCATCTCCTTGTGAGTAGGGTCAGCAATATATGACTGGTGATGGAGAGTGCTGTGGGAAGTGTATTGAAGTAGCATGCGTAATCAAACTAAGTAACAACACTGTTCTCGTGCTCAATGTAAGTATTCCCTTCATTTTCAGATCTCTGTCAGCCAATAGAGGTCAGAACAGCTAAGAGTTAACTCATGTCCCCTACTAGTAAAAATCTAATTAATACCGAAATTATTCTGAAAACAACACATCAGATTTCAGTTACTTGAAATTATAAATTCTTGATATTTGTGGTTAACAGGGCAATCGTTTCTAATTTGTGGTCTGAGTGTTCAGATCCAGGATTTAAACTTTCGAGCTAGCCACAGTTTGCAAAATTTTGCTTTTGCCACTTGAAAGAAGTTCAGAAGCATCGGTCTGAAAACTTAATTAGCTCAGACATTTTTGAAGTAATCACACTGTACTTGATCAAAATAAAAAAAAAATGTTTGCTTTTCTTATAAAATCTTAGGTTGATGACATCTTGCAACTTGATAATTGCAGCCATTACAAATGTGAAAAAATTGAAGATCAATTTGTTGCAGTCCAAACTAAAAGAATATGCCCTGAGTACAACCCAGGAGAATGCGATCCTGTAAGTTTTTATCAGTTCTTCATTGATTGAATGCAGTTTCAAGGAACAAGGAGGGGGGCAAGTAAGAATACAACCAATCACTTCCGCTAAAGTCACAGGAATGTCTTAAGAATGAAATTAATCTTGCTCTAACTTTAGTCGTAAGAAAAGGTTAGTATTTTTGCCTGAGGCTACAAGGATTCAAGACTTCTATGGTGGGGACGTTAAGTCACCCATTGTTTCATTCAGTGTTCATCACAGAGGAGCCTTCTGCCCAGTATCAGTAATGCAAACTCACATTCTTACTCACTGTTGCCACCTGTGCATTAATACAAATCCTCCTTTTTACCTTTGCAAAGGATGAAGCAGAGACTACTGATGATGGCTGCTGCAAAATATGTAAACGTAAGTAATGCTGTGTCCATGTTTTCTGCTCGAAGAGCACTGTATTCAATCTCTGTCTTAGAATGGATGGAAGGATTCTTAACTCCCCCAGCTTTCACTTATTCTATTTATGAAGACCTTGTGTTTCACTGCTTATTCAAAAGGAAAAAGCAGATTTGTTTTCCTGATACTGAATATCCCAAAGCAAACCACCAATGCTCAAGCCTCTCCATTATCTTCCAAAGACACCATACAGCTGAGATCAAAGAATAATAACCTGAAAACTCCAAATACGTTACACAGTATCCTCCCTTGCTGCCACATACTGTGGATTCTCAGACATCATGCACTTTGAAACTGTTTCAGCATTCATTAAGTTCTGATCTAGCAATCTGACCTATGCTTCCCCCCCTCCCCTCTTTTTATGAAGCTGCAAACTGCAAACCTCACACAGAAAAAACTGTGATCCGCTACGATGACTGTGAATCTTCTGAAGCTGTTGAGCTGGCATATTGTGAAGGAACTTGTCCTGGCTCCTCAGTGTAAGTTCCAAAAACTTAATTTAGCATCACTATGGCTTTCTTTATTCATACCGATCTCTCAAGTTAATCAATCGACCAAGGGTACTGAGGGAGCTGGTAGAAGTGCTCACTGAGCCACTTTCAATCAGCAGTCCTGGCTAACCAGGGAGGTCCTAGTTGACTGGGGGTTAGCAAACGTGATGCTCATCTACAATAAGGGCCAGGAGGATCTGAGGAACAACAGGCCTGTCAGTCTGACCTCGGTCCCAGTGAGGTTACGGAGCAGATCATCATGAAGGTCATCACATGACATGTACAAGACAAACAAGTGAACAGGCCTAGTCAGCATGGCTTTATGAAAGGCAGGTCCTGCTTGACTAAACTGATCTTCTATGATAGACCTGCTTAGTGGATGAGGGAAAGGCTGTGGAGATTGTTTACCTGGACTTTAGTAAAGCCATTGACACGTTTCCCACAGCATTCTCCAGGAGAAACTGGCTGCTCAGGGATTGGACAGGCGTACACTTTGCTGGATAAAAAACTGTCCTGATGGCTGAGCCCAAAGAGTTGTGGAGAATAGAGTTAAATCAGGTTGGCAGCCAGTCACAAGTGGTGTTCCCCAGAGCTCACTACTGGGGCCAGTTCTGTTTATCAGTGATCTGGATGAGGGAATTGAGTGCACCCTCAGTCAGTTTGCAGATGACACCACGCTGAGTAGGAGTGTTGATCTGTTGGAAGGTAGAAAGGCTCTACAGAGGGATCTGGACAGGCTGGATCGATGGGCTGACACCAATCGAACGAGGTTCAACATGGCTGAGCACTGGGTCCTGCACTTGGGTCACAACACCACCTTGCAATGCTATGGGCTTGGGGAAGGGTGCCTGGAAAGCTGCCTGGCAGAAAAGGACCTGGGAGAGTTGGTCAACAGCCAGCTGAGTATGAGCCAGCAGTGTGCCCAGGTGGCCAAGAAGGCCAATAGCAACCCGGCTTGTGTCAGAAATAGTGTGGCCAGCAGGACTGGGGAAGTGGTTGTCCCTTTATACTTGGCACTGGTGAGGCGGCACCTCAAATACTGTGTGAACTTTTGGGCCCCTCACTACAAGAAAGGCATTGAGGTGCTGGAGTGTGTCCACAAAAGAGCAGTGAAGCTGGTGAAGGGTCTGGAGTACAAGTCTTAATGGGGAACAGCTGAGGGAACTGGGGTTGTTTAGTCTGGAGAAAAGTAAGCTGAGAGGAGACTTGATTGGAGGTTGTGGTGAGGTGAGTGTTGGTCTCTTCTCCCAAGGAGCAAGTGATAGGACAAGATGAAACAGCCTCAAGCTATTTAAAAGACATGTAGATGTGGCACTCAGGGACATGGTTTACTGGTGGACTTGGCAGTGCCAGGTTAATGGTTGGACACAATGATCTTAAGGGTCTTTTCCAACCTACGTGATTCTATGATCCCAGAATAGCAATAAAGGTAATGTGTTTGTAAGATTCCATTGAGTGGAATCAGGCTCGATGAAAGCAAGGACAGTTTCACTATTGAAGTGACAGATAATTAAAATCACATAATAGGTGTGTAGGGGAGGAAGGAAGAGAAGATATTAAAAAAACACTCTCAAACCCCCAACAAACCCCAAAACAAAAGTCACTGGGAGGTTTCAGTGTGTTAGTTTTTGATGAGAAGACATATTTTCTTTTCCTGGTGGAACACAGGTATTCTTTTGAAGCAAATCAGATGCAACAGAACTGCAGCTGCTGCCAGGACTCCAGCAGCCAAACAAAAGAGGTGACCCTGACTTGCCAAAATGGAACAAGCATCAGTTATAACTACATCTACGTGGAACAATGCCAGTGTGTGAATGCATGCAGCTCGGAAACCTCTGCATCGTATGACTCCCAGTCAAAAGAGTCTGCAACATATAGTTCCCAACTGAAAATGAGCAGAAGAAAGAGATGATCATTGGAAAAAGAAAACAGAGACCCTAGAGAAGCTGGAATCATGTTTTCCCCAGAATAACTTGTGCTCCTCCTGTAGCAGATTTTACGTCAGTTTCTATTATCACCTTTTCTCATTTCTTACTTGTAAAAAAAAAAAGTAAAATAATTAAATCTTGGTGTTTTATTTTGAGTTTGTTTCTGTTTTTTTTTAAGTGATACAATATTAAAGGGAAAAATACATGACTGCATAAAAGACCTTTGTGTAAATTATAAAAATATGCAAATATGTTTCCATTCAATCACAAAACTGACATTTTGGGAAAAAAAAGTTTAAGAGGTCTCTAAACATAAAACCAGAAAACATTGGAGCTACATTGCACTTAAGTCTTGTGCCTAGAGAAAGATTTATTGAGTACCATTTTTATGAGCATAACGGTCCTTCCAGGCATCTCAGTGACAGAGAGAAGACTGTTTTCTCGTTCATTTTTTCTCTTATTTGATCAATAAAACTTTCAGCATTTTTCAGTTTCAGTGGCCGTTCAATACCCATCCTTATTATCTAAATGACAGAGTCCAATGGCATCAGGGAGTTTTCTATCTTAGATGGGCGGTATATTCTCTAGCAGCCTTTGGGAATGAAGACACTCTCAAAATCCTTTTCCTGGATGAAGTTAAATTCCCTCACCCAGGTCTAAATAGCTCTACTCACTAGCATAAAAGGTACAGAGATAAAAAAACCCTCTCATTAGCTCACTCTATTCTAGTTGCCAAGATGGTGGGACAACAGGCAGGCTCCAGTTTGTTTTCCCTGTAATTAGTGGAGAGGTCCAGAAGACAAGTACAAAAAAAGAGGAAAGGAAAACTTTATTCATCACTACCATTTCATGTTCTAGTTCAAAAGATATATGGCTGTGGAAAACAGCATTTGTTTCTTCAGTTGAAGACACAAATCTATATATGAATGAAAGCTTTAACTAGTTGAGGAATACTTAAAGTGAGGTCAATGAACTTAGTAAAATCAGAAAATTCTCCTGCCCATCATTTTAACAATATTCACAAATCAGTTCAGGATATGTTTTTTAAAGCGTGTGTTTGTCTCCTGTGCTACTGAAAAGATTTTGAATGGATTTGCACTAGTCAGAAAATTGGTTGCCTTTTCCCATCGTAGTTCAGCATGTTTACCTGAACTGTTGGGAGCATTTACCTTACCAGTAGCTGTTATAATACAAAGCCTGAAATCTGCCCTGAAGGCTTGGCTGAAAAATAAAGGAGGAACTGTCTGATCAAATAATCACACATTTTATACATGCTTGTTTAGAAGTGAAATTCAATCGTGAATGAAATCAGTAGAGCCTTATGTGTTGGCCTTCACAGGCATGACCTGGTATCATGAGGATTAACCCGTGGGGAGAAGTAGGCAGGTTTGTGAGCTTCACGTTTTACTGCCGAGCTCCATCTCTTGGCTATCTAAGGCTTGAACCACAGCAGGTACGTGGGCTCCAGGCAGGGTTAGCAGCTATGACATCAGAGCAGACAGCTGTGTCCTCCCTGCACCTTCTCTGACCCAGTCATAAGCCACTTGTCACCGGGAACCTGGGCTAAAGCCAGACCAGCTGCGCACCACCAGTTTTACCACTTCTCCACTGCATCCTCAGACCCTCAACACCAGGTATCGCTATGAGGAGACAACCAGACACTTCTGAACTGTCACCAGCGGCTCAAGCAGTTTGACAGCTTCAGCACAGTTTCCCAGGTTTCTGGTTTCCAGAGGGTTTAGCACTTTGGGCATAGCACCATGAAAACAGAGAGAGCCTGATGGGATCTAGAACTGTACTGCAGAGAAAAAACAGCACTGCTGGTGCTAGGAGGCATTCCTAAAGGAAAGGCATTCCCAAGGGAGAGGCATTCCCATAGGCCAGCTGTGATGCAGAGCTAGCAACACCAGTCTAGGCAAACCGCTGCCTGCAGAGCTGGCAGGTCAGGGTGCAGACTGCAAAAACCCAGTAACACGTGACGTATGAAAACCAAACATCTGTGAACACTCCTAAAGTTGGCTTTGAGTTCAGACTGAAGCCAATGACATTTGCCTGCTTTTCCCCCTCCCACCCTAACTCCTCAGTCCTCATATTCCGAGTATTTAGTATCACGTTCACCAGTTACAAACCTTCCCCAACATTTTCTGATGTGCAGGTTTGGCTCAACTATTTTAAGCACTGTATTAAGGTGTTAGCAGTACGTTCCAGTTTGAGTCTTAAGCTGCCCACTACTGGTTATTATTTGCTTCTCTAAAGAAAACTAAACCAGGAACTATTCCCTTAATTCTACCGGAAACATTAAGCCTTGCAGAGTATGTTCACCCATCAGTGATCAATTATATTAGCATCTAGAATTATTTTTTATTTTAAATTCTCAAATTATGGGAGATGTAGAGGCTATTTCTCAAAGCTGAACACCCCATTATTTCCAGGTAGCTGATCAGTTACCGATGAGTCTAATTTGAAGATGCCATCGCAATCCTCAGTGATCATGTACTGCGTTCATGGGAAAAAAAAAAAAATCAGCACCACAATACACTGTTTTGAAGAGATAATCTAGATTAGTGGGTTTTGGGGGGTTTGGGTTGTTTTGGTTTCTTTTCTTCGATAACCAGCCCACTGCAAAACACTAGAAACCACTGAATTTTCTCTGCTCTCCTTAAAATACAGCTTTCAGTTTGGTTGTTTTTTTTTATTTTAAGGGAAATCTATTTTTATACCTTCTTTCTCTCAAGCCTACACAGAAGAAAACCCAGGGGATCCACACTTTAAGTAAACAGGATTCAGGAGGAGACAAACATGTAGATTTCTCTTTGGAGCAAATGCTATACCATAATTACAAGTCCAAGGAATGTCTAGTAATTACTTTAAAGCAGAAAAATTAGCTATATAGGAAAACACGAAGACATACATTTGTTTGATATACAAGAAGTTACCATTTATGCTAAAATATATCTACCTGCTGTGTACTATATCAAGCTCCTCCGAACTTGAAATGACAAAATGCATGTACGCCTTAATTTTATAGCGAAGTTTCCAAACACGTTAAATGTACACTCA